GGGGGGGGGGGGGTGGTAGCGGCAGCGGCAGCAGCAGCAGCAGCCCTCCGTGTTTACCTGAGGTTTTCAGGCGTGAAGGCTCGGTTCAGATCCGTGTCTACGTATCTGGTGCACTTCTCCACAGCCTTCGGGTTGGTGATGAAGGCTTTGGTCTTAACCTGCTTCCTTTGAATCTCGCTGCCGTTCTTCATCCACAGGTTAACCAGCGTTACGCCTGACATCTCGTTTCCGTGCGTGCCGCCGAAAATAGCAACTCTCTTTGCCTCATCAAGGCACGCGGTGTTGTTATTAGAGGTCATAACTTTGTAATAAAAAACAAACAGAACAATGACAGTAGATAAGCTGTCAGACTGAGGTCGCGGACGCCCTGCTGCCAGAGTTGAAGTTTGTCTCAGCAGCTTCGTACAAACACGGTTTAAAAGGCTACTGACGTGACGCGCTTACGTAACACATCGTGCTCTGTTTCTAGGTGGAAGTTGCCCTCAGCTGTGTGTGGCAGGGTTCTACGTCCCATTGACAAGCTTCATTTCGTCGAATACTACACACGGATGAGCCCGTCATTCAAATATATACACTCATCTGTTATTTAAAATAATCTCCACAAATCTCACATTCATAATTCTCATTTTAGGAGGTACCTCTGGTCCCTACATCCACATGTGGGGGAATAAAATATCTCGAATTCTTATACTAATTATTTAAAAAAAAAAAAAAACATACTACATTCTTAGTTCTTATACAACTTCTACAAAATCAACCTACATAGTATAGTAGATATGCGGTAATGTCGCCAAACACTGTAAGGTGTCCTTGGGTGACAGAAAGGCGTCTATGAAATAAAATGTATTATTATTATAGTGACATAATATGAATATGCACATAAACTGATAATAAATACACCTCGACCTGTCTTTTACAATAATTTAGCCTAACATGAGCGATGCTGTATGGCGCTTTGGCCCAGAGGCAATGTCTATGTCGTTGGTGTGGAACCCCATGGTTCACCTCCTGGGCAAGCACTACCTATACTGTAAACTGATTGGTCTACCTGGCAAAACCGGAAATAGACCATAACCGGAAATAATCAGAAAGTTCACGCACATACAGTCTCTCACTCTCGTGCGCGCGTTGTCGCTCCATTTACCATATAGAAGGAGGAAGACACGCACAAGAGGTAAGTTTAAATCGAAATTCTACATTAAAAGTCATATTCTATACATATACATAGACCTGAATCTATACATATATTATGCCACAAAGTCGCCACTGAAACGTCAACTTCGGGTTTAATAACTGACCTGCAACAAAACCACCATAAACCCACAATGGATTACAAATGCATGGTTGTTGGTTCACTGTATAACAACAAGTTAAATGTCTGGAGATTTTAAAACCAACTCTTGAGGACATGCTGGATTGTTTTTCAATATATAACAGAGCGAAATAATGTGACATGACATTTTGCACATTTATATGCATGTTAATGCTGGAAACACAACGGTGTAAATTGAGAAGTATAAAACAGATACCTAAAATAAACCAATAAGAAAACAGATCAATCCTATTTTCTCAACACAAGTCAATTACGTTAAACTAGTGTTTCTCAATTATCTTCTGCCATTCCACTTCCAGACGAGAGGTGTTTTTTCATGCCCCGACCCCCGACCCCCATTGAAGTAGCCTACTATTTAGTTCCTGGTAATATCTATTTATTTATACACATTCAATATTTATCAATACTGTATGAGTCGTTCTTCGACTAGGTTAAACAGGCAGCCCGTTCTGCTGCCATCTAGTGACCGGAGGCATTCAAGCATGAATAAAGACAGCATACTGAAAGTCTCGTCCCGATTTCTTTTAAAAAAAATAACTTGTTTGAATTGATTCTTGGTCTTTGTTTGGCCAAATAAATGTAGATTTAATTTATTGTTTGTTTCAAATACTGTTGCATAAATCTCTACAGTTAGCGATAAGTCACCACGAAATGCCTCTAATTTATGGGTTTGGGTTTCTATAAAGATTCTCATAAAAAGCTGCAAATGAGTTTGACGTTTGGTTGCAATGTTGTTGTTTTTTGTTCTTAAATGTACATTTTTTGGAACCAGGCAACAGACTTTTAAAGATTTTGACAATAAGAAGAGAAGCACTACTGAGAATGAAGAGAAAATATATTCGCAGGGGGTTCATTTGAAAACAGTGAACTTACTGATGTCAACACATCACAAAAATGTTAGTAGAACAGTTTTGATACAAAACAATAAACATAAAATCACAAAAATTTTGATACAAAACAATAAACATAAAATATATTTTAAAAAAAAAACAGCATTTGTTCTTCCTTAGGATCTGTTTGCACACACTCATAGCTTTCTCTTCTTCTTTTTCTTCTTTTTCTTCAACCAATCCGTAGATTCTTCCAAACGACTCGAACTTTCTGCTGACTCAGCTTCACCCGTAGTAGTGCTGACACTGGTTTCTACAGAAGGACTGATCGTAAAAGCTTTTGGGGGTGAACTCAGACACACTTGATCTTCGTATGTTTGAAAATCTTTTCCCCCAATGTCAGCAGTGAGGAAGGAAGAGGTTCCTTTCTCTTGGAGTGCAGACACAGAATCATCACTTTGTTCAACAGTGCTTTCTAATACAATTCCGTTCAATGAAGTTCCATGCTTTTTTTTCTTCTTTTTCTCAAACCCAAGTTCAGTGTCTCCACCATGTGGACAAACATTTTTAAGTTTGGCCGGTAATATATCTACTCCTTCTGAGATACTTTCCCTCATCTTATCTTTCTTCTTCTTTTTTTCCACTGACTGTGCAGTACACTCTTTTGAGAGAATACCCTGAGACCAACTTAAATCCTCACTATCGTTTCGATCCTTTTGGGGCTTCTTGTCAGGCTTGTTGACAGCTTCTAAACCTATTTGAGAAGATTTAGTATTGTCTAAGCCACACTCCGTTTCTCCTTCCATTACATGAGAAGTACAAGCCCGGACTTTCGCTTCCTCTCCTGGCGGTACAGCCACATCTAGTGGCGTTTCTATTTTCCTCCGTTTCTTTTTCTTTAGTCCAACATCTCCATGTTCTGAAACTGTTCTGACCTGATCAACATCTTCGTCGTCCTTTGTATTTTTTTTCTTTTTTCTTTTCTTGGCTTTGCTACCATCTAAAACACAGTCTTTGGTCCTGGTGACATCAGCAGCATCTGGAAGACATTGGAGAAGAGTTTGGCTTTCAGGTTCATTCTCTAACTGTTCTGCTTGCGACTGATCTTCTGTGTGGAAAACACGAGCTTGCTGCTCATCTATACGGAGGGATGCTTTTCTGCACGTCCTCTCTTTACTCCGATATATTTTCGGCTCTAGTAGATAACAAACTGTGGTATCACTGTCGCTCAATTCTTCAGCTTGCACTGATGCAGCATTGCCTCTCGTATGTGTCGCTGACATTCTTGTGTCACTTGTTCCCCCCTCAGCTTGAAACAGATGAAGAGGACCATCTTGGGTATCCATTTCCGATAAATGTTTTCCACATTTCCCTTGCTTTTCACCACAAACTTTTTGCCCGTCAGGATTGGATTTCTCTGTCTCTCCCATTGCCCTTTTCTTTTTTTTCTGTGCGATGGGAATGGCTTTTAGCGTTGAAACTAGGCGTTTTTTCTCCTGGAAGATAACATACAGTAACTTTTTTTTTTAAACAACAAACAAGACTTGGGTTTTACTAAAAAGCTTACCACTACTTTGATCTCTGCACTTGCTGACATTTCATCTTCATTTCTGTAACAAAGAGAGTGTTATTCATTAGCAACATAAACAATTACCGTAATGTTTTGGACTATTGAGCGATAAATTTAAAAAGAAAGAAATAATTGCACATGTACAGGCCACACTTCTCTATATGCCGCAGGTGTCCACATTGTAACATGTTTTTTTTTTGTTTTTTTTCACGTTTAACCCTTGTGTAATGTTCATATTGTTGTTACTCAGCAGCCAGTGTTTGTGGGTCTGATGGACCCGTTGCATTTTGTGGCTTTTGATGCCTCACAATCAACACTTTTATGTTAAAATACTGAACAGATGTTTAGTTTATCCCAATTACAAGCAGTATAAACAATATATATGGTTAATATTTGCCCTTTACCTTTGTTCTGTGTACCTACACTCTGTCCTCCTCCTGTCTAGGCCTTCTGTGTTTGTGTGTGTGTAGGTGTGTGTGTG